TCAGTTCTGGTGCAACAGGGATGCCTACTTGCACACACACTATTATTATACCAACATGGAATTCATCTTCTGAGAAAGAGAACATTTTATGATTGTAGACTTCCAAGGAGAAGAAGCAAGTACTGTCAATGTCCAAATTAGTCGCTGTTCAGAAAGGGGTTTGGGAATTCATAGAGTCAGGGTAAATGGGGTGTAGCTGAACTAAGGGACTAAACTAAGACCCAACGAAGAGACTGAACATGACAGGTGCAGAGGAAAGGGATGGGAAAGTCCTTTGAGCATGCGCCTTTTTTTTTTTTTTTTTTGACAGGCAGAGTGGACAGTGAGAGAGACAGAGAGAAAGGTCTTCCTTTTGCCGTTGGTTCACCTTCCAATGCCAGCACATCGCGCTGATCTGAAGCCAGGAGCCAGGTACTTATCCTGGTCTCCCATGGGGTGCAGGGCCCAAGCACTTGGGCCATCCTCCACTGCACTTCTGGGCCACAGCAGAGAGCTGGCCCGGAAGAGGGGCAACCGGGACAGAATCCATTGCACTTGGGCGTTTCTGCAACAGCTGAGGCCCCCATAAGCATTTGGTAATCAATTTTATCTCTGCATTCTTGGAGCACTTTTTATATTACTGCTTAGGCCCATAGCGTATTTTACCATGTTTATCTCAGTATCTAAAAAGATAGGATGTGATTTCTTTAGTGTCTTGCATCTGTTTTTGTGTGTCCACTCAGAGTTATAATAGATGGTTGTTACATTGCCGTTTATATTGGAACTATTGTTCTATCAAGTTCTCTCTCCTAGTGATTTTCATCAAAATGCATTTGTTTTAACCTCTTCCATTCAGTTTGGTATAATGTCAGTTTTCCTCTTTCTGTTTTTGTCTTTCTCTGTCATCACACTGAACTCGAGTGGAATAAAGGAATATTTCGAAGTTTTTTTCTTTGTCCAGGTTTTTCCTTCTAATGGAGATAACAGTGACCAGTGGAATGGTTCAAAATAATGTTGATGACTTGTTATATGATCTAATGAGTGCCTATTTTGTGCCAGACAATGTTCAAAGCAGTTTACGTATATTCATTTAATTTATTTTCATGGTAGTCCTATGGCATATATGAATTTATTATTTTATTAAAATTTATTTATGTGAAAGATATATGTATATATGTATGTGTGTGTGTATATATATATATATATATATATTTGAAAGAGAGAGAGAGATTGAGAGCACATTCTCATCTGTTAGTTCTCCCCCCAAATGCCAGAAATGGCCTGGTGTCAGAGCAAGGAACCAGGAACTCAAGCCAAGGCTCATGCGGGTATCTGGGACCCAGCTCCCTGGGCCATCATTGCTACCTTCCAGGGTCTGCATTAGCAGAAATGCTTTAATCAGGATCTTGAGCTGGAACTTGACCCCAGTACTCTGATATGGAGTGTGTGAGTGTGTCTTAATTAGTGTCTCACACATTAGGCCAAACACCTGCCTCTGTATCTCATTTTAGTTGAGGGAATACAAGACATAGCAGTAACTTGTCAGAAGTTACACACAGAAAGATTGCAAATTTGGGATTTAAACCTAGTGGTCTCCACTTACTGCATTATCTTGCTCTTTGCAAGACAGGTTGGGGACCAGCATTGTGGCTTAGAGGGTTAAGCCACTGCCTGCAATCCCATATGAGTGCTGTTTGAGTCCCAGCTGCTCCACTTTTGATCCAGCTCCCTGCTAATGGCCAGGGAAAGCAACAGAGGATGGCCCATATGCTTGGGCCCCTGCATCCCTATGGGAGACCTGGAAGGAGTTTGAGGCTCCTGGCTATGATCTGGCCCAGCCCCAGCTGTTGTGGCCATTTTGGGACTAAATTAGCGAGTGGAAGATTTTTTTCTCTGTCTCTACCTCTTTCTCTGTAACTGTGCTTTTCAAATAAATAAACAAATCTTTAAAAGGAAGGAAGGAAGGAAGGAAGGAAGGAAGGAAGGAAGGAAGGAAGGAAGGAAGGAAGGAAGGAAGGAAGGAAGGAGAGAGAGAGAGAGAGAGAGAGAGAGAGAGAAAGAAAGAAAGAAAGAAAGAAAGAAAGAAAGAAAGAAAGAAAGAAAAGGTTGTTGTGGAAAGGAATGGAAGCAACCATCCTAGAGAAACCTGTATTTGTCCTCAATATCCAGAACATCTTTCAGATTAGAATATTTGAGAGATATGGGGACTGAGATTTGGGAAGCAGAGCCAAAAGGAAGTGGAGGACTGTGTGAGTGTTTTGTGAAATTTTAAGCATGAGGAAGCCAATCAGAATAATTAAGTCATTGTGTTTTTTGTCCTTGATTGTTTGTAAATTTTTATTAAGAGAGCTAGCTAAATAATAAAATCCTGATTAGTGAATCAGCATCCATCTTGTAGGGTTGTTTGCATATTTTGCTTCTGTTTATGATAAAGACTAAATTCATAGCTTTATGATTTTTAGTTTCACTAAACAGAAAAACAGCCAATGATTCATTTTCTGTGCTGTCCTGTTGGCATGTTGCCAAATGCTGTTCACTGTTAATATATAAAATCTCATGCGGTCTTATATTGTTCCATAGTAAAAGATGAACAATGGGTTTACTTGTGCAAAAAGTGAACATTTCAATTCTGCTGGTTCCATATGTCCTTGATTAGCATTCCAGTCAACTTAACTTGACTTCTGCAGAATAGGTTTTTGGGAAAAATAGTTTTCTGATCTGTGGAGTTTGAAAATACATAAAGAAATAAACAAGTTCTGATATTCTGTAAACAGACCTCAGCTTTCTTAAACATTCATAATAAAGCTGAACTCCAGTATGGCACTAGTTTTGAGACTTCAGCATACATAGGAATCATGGACACAGCTTATTAAAATGCTGGGTTCTAGGCCCCATCCTCAGAGCCCAGCCTCTGCCCCCATCGTGGTTGATGTAGATGCCCTCAGAGTGCCAGAATCAGGTGGAAGAGGAGATGTGGAGTGGAGAGTCCAGAAACCCAGTACCCTGGGGATCCAGGCTCGGAAGTGTCAGGGAGCAGATGGGCTTTTCAGGGAGCTGCGGAAAGTCTGGCCTCCAGGCAAGAGAAGACTTGAGCTCTTCCGGCGGGTCCCACATGGGACCCGCTGTTGCTGGCTCTTGAAGTAATGGATGAGTGTTTGAATTCAACTTGCGACAGTGGTGAGGACCAGTGATCTCCTGTGCAGCCACGTGGTCTGCAGATGGCTGAGGTTCACCGTGGGCAGCTGGGATGGGGCTGGGCTGGGAGGCGGAGCTGGAGAGGGAGGGGGATCGCAGCCATAACCATTTTGCCATTGTCTGAAAGGGTGGGTTCCTGGCCTGCAGGAACACAGAGTTGTTACGAAAGGGGAAATTGCATTATGCAGGATCCAATTAGGAAAAATTGTCCTCTTTTGGGAGTGGGAACTGCTGAGTCTAAGACAAAGGCCCCAGGCCTGAGTCTGCTAACTCTTGGCCTGCAGGGGTGGGAAGAACCACCCTGCAGAAGTCAAAGGGTGGGATTATTTGGTTCCTTAAATACAGGAGCAGGAAAGAAGCCAGCAGCAGTGATTCCTGTGTAGGAGAAGAGCCAAAGAAAATGTTTCCACCCCCAGTATGCACACACTAGACCTCACTGGAGACCGGGAGAGGGAACTGAGACATGCCTAAGGAGCAGGCCTGGCAGTCTCTGTGTCCTGTAACCTTCCTGCCTGCCTCCTATGGAGAAGTCTGCAGGGATTCTGTGTCTCTCTCCAGTACTTTTAACTAGAACTTTCTTTTAGGGGACCTTATAGAGGAAAATGAGACTAGAGTGGCTTTCTGAGTTCCATAACACATGTTTTAAATGTTATCTTAGGTCCAGGAAGGCATTTGTTTCTCTTCTATGCACACTGTGTCAGTTTTTCAAATCTGTATACCCTGGAGATATACATACAAATGCATTGTTCAGAGTTCTTATTTGCACAGTAGATTTTTTTGTTTTAATTTATTTTATCTGAAAGGCAGAATGACAGAGAGAGAGAGGGCTGGACAGGGTTCACTCCATAAATGGGTGCAATAGCTGGGGCTGGGCCACACCGAAGCCCAAGCCAGGAACTCCATCCTGGTCTCTCACTGAGTGCTAGGGGCCTAATGTGATTTTCTGCTGCTTTCCAAGGTGGGTCAGAAGTGGAGCAGCTGGGACTTAAACTAGGGTTTGGATATGGGATGGTGGCATCACAGGCTGTGGCTTCACCTGCTGAGCCCCAGTGCTGGCCTCTGAATGCACACTAGCTTTTGTTGACTGGTTTTCTCAACTACTTTTAGGTTGAGTCTGGGAAATATTCTACCTTTAAAAAAATGAGTCCTTGCAGTGCCGGTACACTGGGTTCTAGTCCCGGTCGGGGCGCCGGATTCTGTCCTGGTTGCCCCTCTGCTGTGGCCAGCTCTCTGCTGTGGCCAGGGAGTGCAGTGGAGGATGGCCCAAGTGCTTGGGCCCTGCACCCCATGGGAGACCAGGATAATTACCTGGCTCCTGCCTTCGGATCAGCACGGTGTGCCAGCCGCAGCGCACTGGCTGCAGTGGCCATTGGAGGGTGAACCAATGGCAAAAGAAGACCTTTCTCTCTCTCTCTCTCTCTCTCTCTCTCTCTCACTGTCCACTCTGCCTGTCAAAAAAAAAAAAAAAAAAAAAAAAAGAGCCCTTGGTTTTAAAAGGGTAGAAACCCTAGAGCCAAAGCATCACAACCATTTCTTCATTTGGGTATAAAGAGCTTGCTCATCATATAATGCACAGCACTGTCCAGTGACTCTTTTTTGTGCCTTATTTGATAGACGTTTTAGAGAGGGGCAAGGTAAACAAACTGTGCCTTGATTTGACTTTAGAAAAATATTAATACTGAATAAATACAGAGGGGTTTGTGAAAAGCAGATCTACTTAAAACCTGGCGTGTTGTTTGACTTTGTAATCATATGAGAAGTCTGTGTCCTGCTCAGTAAGAACATGTACATTCAGAAGCAGTGACTCTTTTCTCTGTTTTGCCCAGGCGCTGTTATGCGGTCTACTTGTCATGTGTCCCGAGGATCCACTGCAATATTTAGAGGAAATGATCATAGCTATAATGGAAAATGGTCTGGAAAATCTTCTTTGGTAGGTATTGTTTTGGTTTATAAGAGGGAAGTGTTTTCTTTTGAAGGCAAAGCATTCATTGTACAGTGGTTGTAATGAGGTTTTGCCAGTGAAGGTTTTCAGTACCCACATTGCTACAGAATCCATCCACAGGCTATTTTAGGCCCAGAGGTTTAAACAGGAATAATTTGTCCACTGGTTTTCAACTTGGAAAATACAGTGTACCTCATCAGTGACCTGTGTTCACAGGACAGTTTATTTCAGGTTGGGGATTAAAGAAAGGCGTGGCCTTCTTGAAGGGTACAGCAGTATCTCGGGTGTGGACGGTGGGAGGGGGAGGCAGAGGCATGGTTTGAAGAATCCTCCAGGTGACTTTGTTCTGCTTCTGCTGAAGGGATGTGTCTCTGCCCCCCTCTCCCTTCTCCACCCACAAGAACCAGTGATATAATTATGGAGCTGGGTACTGGACGTGAAGTTACTTTTTGACCTTGTTTTATGATTTTATTCAAGGGACATGTGCATTGATCTATCAATGAGACCGAAACTCCAAAGATTATCCAAAACTTACTTGGAACAACTTTTTGGACTGGATGATCAGCTGGTAATTATTAGTAACCAAGCATTTCTAAAATATGTATGTTAAATTTTGATGGAAGTTTCCCACATGGATTTTAGATTTGATGGGAGATATAAGGTCTGATTATTTTTGGAATTGGGGGCACCTAGAAAAGTGAAGGGACATCACACACTCACACACACATGCACTTACACACAGCCACACTCACAGGCACACTCACAGTAACCTCCCCACATTTCTAAGAAGCACTGCTCTTGCTCCTAAGATCTTTCCCCTTTCTTTTTCTCATGATTCTTTGTAATGGTAAAACAGCTCTATGGAAACTTTTATTTTTATGTTTTTTAGGGCTGTATTTGTTTGTTTGAAAGTCAGAATTACAGAGAGAGAGAGAGAGGGAAAAACAGAGAGAGGATCTTCCATTTGCTGGTTCACTTCTCAAATGGTCACAATGCTTGGGGCTGGGTCAGGCTGAAATCAGGAGGCAGGAACTCCTTCCTGGTCTCCGACGTGGGTGACAGGGGCCCAGATTCTTGGGCCATTATCTGCTGCTTTCTCAGTTGTATTAGCAGGGAGCAGGATCAGACGTGGTCTCGAACCAGCCCTCATATGGGATGCCAGTGTTGCAGGGAACAGCTCAATCTGCTGTGCCACAATGCCAGTCCTTATGGACACTTCAAAGGAGAGGATTTTCTTTCCTTTCCAATCAGCTTCCTGTGTGTTCTGTCTCCCTTCATTCTCTTTGGCATCTGCCTACTTGGGTTAAGGGTTAAGAGAATGATGCCCATAAAGACGGGGCTAAAACATGAACAAGATCAAACATAAAAGCTGGCCCTGATTGTTTCTGAAAGGAGCAACCAGCTCCAGCTGCTGGTTTGGATCCTGTAGAGAGGACATGGAAGTAAGTCAAGACATGGAAACTTCTAGAACAAAAACTATGTCTCTAAGAAAAGCTAACATAGCCACCGGCATGCAAGGTGAGCAGCATTAGCACAAACAGGATGTGAGTGTGATCTTTCTCCATTCCAGGGCTGCTGTCAGGGTAAGCCTAGCAGGCTTGAGTGCTGTTGGTGAAGCTGGGCATTGTGAAGTGCACTCAGGGCCGCGTTCAAAGTGGGTGCTGAGAACCAGAAACAATTTGTAGCACCTGTGTAGACGGACAGGTAGAGAGTAACACCGGGTCCCCATTCCATGGTCTGCAACAGAGGAGCAGAGGGATGGGCCGATTCTGCCGAGCCTGGAGTGGTTAGGAGGCAGCACTGCACTAGGCAGAACCCCCATGTCCAAGTCCAAGTTGGTCTGCATCATGGTGTGTGGGGTAGTCGCTGTGATCTGCTATGGACTGCGGATATCTGCAACCAGGTTCTTGGAGATGTTTGGGGTCAACCTCAGAGGCTAAGGGGGAGTCCTAGGGCATGGGATTCTGGATCCTCTCTCATCTCCACCCCTACACTCTTGGAATAGTTTTTTTTTTTTTTTTTTTCAGTATATTCAGAATACAGCTTGAGAACCATTGGTAAAAGATGCTAAAATGTTTGCAGACCACTGTTGTAGAGGGGTATGTCAGTATTTTCACAAGAATCTCAACATAAAATCAAGTTGTGTCCAACGTCTAGCTGGAGGTCTTCTATGTGGGTGCAGGGTCCCAAGGACTTGGGCCATCTTCTACTGCTTTCCCAGGCCATAGCAGAGAGCTGGACCTTGTTGATGTGCTTGGGATTGAGTCCCAGCTACTTCCTATACAGCTTCTTACAAATGCACCTGGGAGGCAGCAGAAGATGTCCAAGTACTTAAGTTCTTGCCACCTATGTGGGAGAACCGGTTAGAGTTCCTAGCTCCTGGTTTTGGCCTGGCCCAGCCCTGATTGTTGTAGCCATTTGGGTAGTAAATGTGGATGGGAGATCTCTCTCTTTCTCTCTCTCCCTCTCTCTCTATCACTCTGCCTTTCAATTAAATAAACAAACTTAAAAAAAAAACTAGCCATAATACCATCACCTTTAGACAATTAGTTTTTTTAAAAAGAGGAATTCTTGGAACTATTTTGTGACCTTGAAAATATAAAGGATAAAATGTTGGAAGCTGCTCCCAACTTTTAAAGGAGTTTAACAGTTTGCTAAAACATAGAAAAACATTCCCGCTTCTTATTGTAAGTTGGAAAACATAGAAATTAAATGTGAGTTTGCAGCAACAATTGAGGAAAATGCCTAAAGCTAGACAGGAATGTGAATCTCCAGTTACCATATGGTTGCTGGTTAGGAGGAATCAGCCTTGACTTGATCTAGATTAATGCAATTATGCTTCATCTGAGAGGAAAATAAAAGGTTTTTTTTTCCTTCCAAGAAGTAAAATGCTTTAGTCCTCAGTGTTTCTGATTTTTTAAATATAGTGCTCTAAATAAATATTAGCTTTACTTTTTTTCACTTTCCTTTCCCATACAATTTCCTATTTAACTTCCAGTAATAGAGTTTTTAATGTTTCAGTGAAAAAAAATTAACATTTGCCAGAGAGACAGAGAACATCCATTCACTGCCTCTCCCCTCAAATGCCTGCTGTAGCTGGAGTGGAAGCCAGGAGCCGGAAGGCAGTCCAGTCTCCCATGTTGGTGGCAGGAGCCAGTCATCGGAGCCATCAGCACGGCTTCCCATGGAGTGCCTAGCCCTCTGATCCAGCATCCCGGGCCATCCCAGTCAGCGTCCTGGCTGCTAGGCTGGACGCCTGCTCCTAAAAACATTTTAAACGTTATGAACAACTATGATTTTCCATGGATTACTAAGATTGCTTTGCGAGGTTTTACCATCTCACATACATAGTCCTGTATGGTGAGGGCTGTCTCTGTATGTCTATTTATAAAATATAAAAGTCTCAGAGAAGAGTAAATACAAGAAGCAGTAAGCCAAATAGTTACCAAAAAAGTAGGAATTGTTCCCCTAACCATGAAGGGAAAGACCGTTTAATTGTGTGAAAGGGTCAGTGATGTAAGGCGAGAACTAACTTGACTGATTTGATTCTCATTTCTTAGGAAATGAAATCTCCAGATGGACCTACTAATTGTGAAAGGAGACATGTATAACATTTAAAAAATCCTTTTATTATGGAAAACTTTAAACATAACACAAAAGTACATCCAGCTTGAACAATGATCAGCATTTTGCCAATCTTGTTAATTTGTTCTGTTTCCTCCTTTACGGTTGGAGTATTAGGAAGCAAATCCAAAAATTGTATTATTTTACTGTTAAATACTTCAGTGTGCATCTCTAAGAGGAAATGGCGTTTTTGGAAAAAATAAACACAGTGCCATTGTCTTCCATAATGAAAACCAGTAATTCCTGAATATCATCTAGTACTGATTATATCCAGATACATATTCCATATTTGAGTTTCCCAAATTGCCTAAAAATGTCCTTTTATGTATGACTCTGTTCAAACCAGAATGCATATAGTGTTTGCCATATTGCCTTTGGTTGTCGTCTAATGTCTCTTGTAATAGACAACATTTCTCCTGTGTGTTTTTTTTTTTTCCCCATGCCAGTTCTTTATTGAAGGAAACAGACCTGTTTTTCTGTAAAATGTCCCACATTCTTGTTGTTTCCTCTGGTGTCATCTTACTCTGTTTCCTGCATTTCCTGGAGGCTGGGACTTAGAGCAAGAAGCTTGATTCCATTCAGGTTCTTTCTTTCTTTCTTTTTTTTTTTTTCCTTTTTTTTTTTTTTAACTTTTATTTAGTAGATATAAATTTCCAAAGTACAATTTATGGATTACAATGGCTTCCCCCCCCATAACTTCCCTCCCACCCGCAACCCTCCCATCTCCCACTCCCTTTCCCATTCTATCCACATCAAGATTCATTTTCAATTATCTTTATATACAGAAGATCAATTTAGTATATATTAAGTAAAGATTTCATCAGTTTGCCCCCACACAGAACACAAAGTGCCAAATAATGTTTGAGCACTAGTCATATCATTAATTCATATTGAACTACACATTAAGGACAGAGATCCTACATGGGGAGTAAGTGCACAGTGACTCCTGTTGTTGACTTAACAAATTGACACTCTTGTTTAAGGCATCAGCAATCTCCCCAGGCTCTAGTCATGAGTTGACAAGGCCATGGGAGCCCCCTGAGCTCACCAACTTTGATCTTATTTCGACAAGGCCATAGTCAAAGTGGAAGTTCTCTCCTCCCTTCAGAGAAAGGTACCTCCTTCTTTGATGGACCATTCTTTCCACTGGGATCTCACTCACAGAGATCTTTCGTTTAGGTTGTTTTTTTTTTTTTTTTTTTTTTTTTTTTTTGCCAGAGTGTCTTGGCTTTCCATGCCTAAAATACTCTCATGGGCTCTTCAGCCGGATCCAAATGCCTTAAGGGCTGATTCCGAGGCCAGGGTGCTGTTTAGGACAACTGCCATTCTATGAGTCTGCTGTGTATCCCACTTCCCATGTTGGATCATTCTCTCCCTTTTTTATTCTATCAGTTAGTATTATCAGACACTAGTCTTGTTTATGTGATCCCTTTGACTGTTAGACCTATCATTATGGTCTATTGTGACCTGAAATTGATCACTTGGACTAGTGAGATGGCATTGGTATGTGCAATCTTGATGGGATTATATTGGAATCCCCTGGCACATTTCTAACTCCATCACTTGGGGCAAGTCCGATTGAGCATGTCCCAAATTGTATATCCCCTCCCTCTCTTATTCCCACTCTTATATTTAATTGAGATCACTTTCAGTTACCCCCTTTCTTCTTTTGCTGCCAAGAATACTGCATGGGGCTGTGGAGTTCTTCCTAGTGCATCACATCAGGAAGTACACATGGTCTGGTTGACCCACTTTCAGTGAACCTTGGATCATTAGATGTCTATAGGACATGTATAGACATTAACATAATTGCTCACTAGTTGAATCCTAGAGGAGTTTTAGGATCCTACGATGGTTTCAGAATGACTGTACTCCAGAACCACTAAGGGTAAGGACACCAAATGCAGTTTAAGAAAATTGTGTGATTCTTTTTTATCTTCAAGATGTACATATCCTATCAGGTATTTGCAGCAAAAGTGATAATTTTTTTGTTACCTAAAATAAGTATTTTTGAAAGATGTATTTATTTGTTTGAAAGAGAGAGAGAGACAGACAGACAGATAGAGAGGACTTCCATCTGCCAGTTCACTCCCCAAATAACCACAGTGACTGGGGCTCGGCCAGGCTAAAGCTAGGAGCTGGGAGCTTCCTCCAGATCTCCCACATGGGTGCAGGGGCCTAACCACTTGGGCTGTCTTCTGCTGCCTTGCCAGGCATATTAGCAGGGAGCTGGATTGGAAGTAGAACAGCCAGGACTTGAACCTGCACCCATATGGGATGCTGGCTCTGCAGACGGTGGCTTAATCAGCTGTGCCACTCAGGGCCCCAGAGTATTATTTCTGTCTCTGTCTCACTCATGTCCCTGTACCATCCTTTCCTTCCTCTCAGTAACCAGCTGTAGCAGGCTTTCATTTATCCTTCTGCTGTTTGTTTTTGAAAATGTGAGGAAATGCCTCGTATTCCCCTTACCTGTGATTTGTTATACAGAACTGGGAGACTGAACATACAGCTAGCTTTATACATCTTGTTTTTCTCACTCAATATGTCGGGGAGATCAACCCTCCTACATAGCTTTTTAAATGATGCTACCACAGGTGAGAATCACATAACAAGAACCTAAAATCTACATGGAAAAATGTCAGCCTACAATGCTGTACTGATGTAACACAGTGGAACTAGGAAAGGAAAACTTAACCTCAGGGCCCTGAGGGCTGGGGTTTTGATTATTAGCAAGAGGCACACAGGTCCTGTGCCCGAGAGAGAGAGAGAGAGAGAGAGGGAGGGAGAGAGAGAGAGAGATATCTTGCATCTGCTGGTTCACTCCTCAGCAGTGATGGTTCAAGTACTTGGGTGCCACCCGCTTGGGAGACCTGGGTGGAGGAGATTCTGGCTCCTGGCTTAGGCCTGGCCCAGACCTGGCTGTTGTGTAAATTTGGAGAATTATCCAGTGGATGGAAGATCTCTCTGTCTGCCTCTGTGTTTCTACTGCTCAAAAAAAAAAAAAAAAAAATTAGTGAAGAATGAGTTAAACAATTTATGTTTTTTCTCAGCATCATCATAATTTGTATTTAATTCCTAATCCAAATGAGAATATTCAAATGTCATTGAGCACAAATGATATAGCCTACTAGGCCTCTCTTATGTGCCTGATATATATCTGTGACTAACATGTGTTTAACAGGATCTATTAACTTACCAAAGCGTTACAGCTGTGTGCCTTAGAAAAGCAGAATTCAGAAATCCTGGCAGTTGGTGTAGATTTGAACCCAACTTCTCTATACAAACAAGTTGAGATGACTACGTTTGTGTAGCTGTATGGTAAATAGAGTGGCAATAAAATGAGAGATAAACACCGCTAGCATTTTTTTAAAGATTTATTTATTTATTTAAAAGTCAGAGTTACACAGAGAGAGAAGGAGAGGCAGAGAGAGAGGTCTTCCACCTGAGGGTTCACTCCCTAATGGAACTGTGCCGATCTGAAGCCAGGAGCCTCCTCTGGGTCTCTCACGTGGGTGCAGGGGCCCAAGGACTTGGGCCATCTTCCACTGCCTTCCCAGACCATAGCAGAGAGCTGGATCAGAAGTAGAGCTGCCGGGTCTTGAACTGGTGCCCATATGTGATGCTGGCGCTTCAGGCCAGGACGTTAACCCGCTGCATGACAGCGCCGGCCTCCACCATTAGCATTTAATAGTAGCTATATGCCTACAGACTGACTTCAAAAAGTTTGTGGGAAAATGGAATTACAAGATAAATTTAGAGTGAGCGTCTGGTCTTATGGGACTTTTCTATTCTGTATCAGGGTGTCTGGGTTTGAGTCCTGGTTCTGCTCCCAATTCCAGCTTTCTGCTGGTATGCAGCTTCAGAAGCAGCAGGTGGATGGCTGAGGTAGTTGGTCTCTGCCACCCATGTTGGAAATACAGATTGGGTTCCTGGGTCCTGGCTTCAGCCTGGCCTCACCTTGGCTGCTGTGGGTATTTGAGGGGTGAGCTAGTGAATGGGGTGTATCTGTTTCTCTGTCTCTCTGATTTTCAAATAAATAAAATAATTTAAAAATACTTAAAGTTTATTCTTGTGCAAAAAATTTAAGATCCATGCATGTAGTCATTTTCATAACATACATTTCCATGAAATTTTTGAAGATCCCTCATATTTTAAATATGTTAATACAATAATATTATGTTTGCTCATTCAAGAATGAATGGACGGTACAGATGATTTCAGCAATCCTCAGTTAGCAGGTAATATATCTTATTGTGAATAATTGTAGGTGAACAGTTTTGTACCTCTTAAAGCATATTCCAATTTAGACTTTTAACTCACGTGGCTTTCCTATTCCTGCTTGGCAAGTGAGGCAGTCCAGTATGTTTTTTTGAAAAGAGAATCTCATTTTATATCCCTGAGAAGGCGGAATTATGTAGTGATCAGTAGACATGCAACTCAACACCCCTATGACTCTGAGGATAGCTAGTAATAACAACACCATAATACTGCCCTTAAAAGGCTTTAAAATAAGTGAGATGGAATGGGACAATTTGAAGCTGCAATTTAACTTTTAAAACATATGGACTAGGCATACACGATAGGATCCCAATATAGGAATGGTGTGCGGTTCTTCCGATCCATGCCTATGCCCTAACTGCCCGTTCCTCGCCCCAGAGGCAACCATTGCTCTCATTTCCCCTTTATCTCACACAGGGGATGCGTACAGTTCACTCATTTCTAATTTTTTTCAATTATTTATTTTAGGTGACTCCAGAATTGATGATAAAAGCATGTACCTTTCACACTAAAAATTTAGTGAAGACTCATTTTTGGTAAGAATCAGATTTTTGGGATAAGAATGTAGTTTTAATGTCTTCCTCTTCAGATTTTTAATTTTTTTAAAGCTTTTATTTAGTAAGTATAAATTTCCAAAGTACAACTCTTGGATTATAGCGTTTTTTCCCCCCATAACCTCCCTCCCACTCACAACCATCCCATCTCCCACTCCCTCTCCCATCCCATTCTTCATCAAGATTCATTTTCAATTATCTTTATATACAGAAGATCTACTTAGTATATACTAAGTAAAGATTTCAACAGTTTGCCCCCACACAGACACACAAAGTACAGACCTCTGTTTGAGTACTAGTTATACCATTAATTCACATAGTACAACACATTAAGGACAGAGATCCTACATGGGGAGTAGTGTACAGTGACTCCTGTTGTTGATTTAACAATTGACACTCTTATTTATGATGTCAGCAATCACCCTAGGCTCTTGTCATGAGCTGCCAAGGCTATGGAAACCTCTTGAGTTCACCAATCTGATCTTATTTAGACATAGTCATACTCACAGTGGAAGTTCTCTCCTCCCTTCAGAGAAAGGTACCTCCTTCTTTGATGGCCCATTCTTTCCACTGGGATCTCACTCACAGAGATCTTTCATTTAGTTTTTTTGTTTGTTTTGCCAGAGTGTCTTTGCTTTCCATGCCTGAGAAACTCTCATGGGCTTTTTAATCATATGCGAATGCGTTAAGGGCTGATTCTGAGGCCAGAGTGCTGTTTAGGGCATCTACCATTCTATGAGTCTGCTGTGTATCCTGCTTCCCATGTTGGATCATTTTATCCTTTTTAATTCTATCAGTTATTATTAGCAGACACTAGTCTTGTTTATGTGATCCCTTTGACACTTAATCCTAGCATTGTGATCAATTATGAACTGAAACTGATCACTTTGACTAGTGAGATGGCATTCTTGATCTATTCCATAAGGAAAAAATTATTTTGGCCAGTTGTTCTGACTTTTCTATTTTGTCATATTTCCACTACTTTTAATTATATACTTCATTTTAATTGAATAAGTTTTACTATTTTCACAATAGCCAAAATTTAGAATCAACCAAAATGTCTATCATCAGACAAATGGATCAAGAAAATGTGGTATATATACACGATGGAATATTATTCAGCTATAAAAAAGAATGGAATTCTACCATTTGCAGCAAAATGGATGCAATTGAAGGACATGATGTTGACTGAAATAAGCCAGACCCAGGAAGACAAATACCTCATGTTCTCCCTTATATGTGGGAGCTAAATTTAAAAAAAAAAAAAAAAAAAAAAAAAACAGAAAAAGAAAGAAATGTCTGTGTGTATCAGTATTGTTGCAAATATAGTTTTGTAAAACTTTGTTTTATACTGTTGTCAAACCAGCGGTTAGGAATTTTACACTTTATGGTTTTAATGATCTGTGATTACTTTAAAATTCATTATGTATGGGTAAAATGGTCATTTTCCCATTCAATTATTGTTTATAACCATTATCTATATTCCCTCTAGAGTCTTTTTGCTCTTTAACTTGTCAAACTTCTTATTTGTTGAAATATTAAGTCTTTTTACTATAATGTAAACTTAAAATGTTATTTCAAAAACTGAAAAAAAATGACAAAGGAAAAAGAAAGAAGGGCAGGAGGGAGAGAGAGTGAGGAGAGAGGGAGGGAGGGAGGAAGAGAGTATCATTGTGTTCTTAGAATTGTCTCCACAGATCACATTGAATATGTTGAAAACTAACTAAAAATTAAAGTAAAAAATTTAATCAGCTGTTAATTAGTTAAAAATGTTCTTAGTACTTCAAAGTATAGCTTTGTATATAGCCCTGCAGTCCACGTATCTGAAGACCTTGGGGCCAGACATGTGTTGGAATTTAAATTTCCCCTCCCACATTTTTTTGCTTTTAATAATTATTAGGGTGATTCTTTTGATAAATCAAAGTTATGATATCATGACTATAACCCATGTTCTTTTTCTTAAACAAAGAGAGATATGACTTGAAGCTGCATTTTCCTGTTGACCATCAGAAATTCTTCAGGTCATATGCAATTTGTAGGAGTTTCTTTCTGTGGTATAGTTTTGAAGAGATAAAGCAAGTCCCACTTATTATTACTCTTACTTTATTTACTAATGTATTGCACTAATATAAACATTATTTTTCTGTATTTTCTGCCTGAAGTACTTGGAGAGACATAGCAATACCTCATGTAAATGAAGATGAAATTCTGGCTGAAAAAATGGAAAAAGCAATAACACATTATAATTACAAACTTCAGAAATCTTCATTTCATTACTGGCACTCTCTTGCAGAAAATCAAAGAAGAAAACTTAAAGGTAAATCGTGACATAGCTGTAATTAATTTTCATATTCATTTGTTCAAAGAGTCAACACAACAACTGTCAAAGCAAGGTTTATGTATTATTTTTTGTGTTTGGACAATTGTCATGACATGAAAGTAGACTGGCTGGCTAATTTAAAATTAGTGATATTTGTTTCAAAAGATTTAGTGGAGTGGGCATTTAGCCTGGCAAGTGAGATGGCAATTGAGATGCCCATTTCCCATACTGAAGTACCTGGGTTTGAGTCCCAGCTCCTGGCTTTGACTTCCTCTAATGCAGATCCCGGGGGGCAGCAGTGATGGCTCAAGTAGTTGAGTTACTGCAGCTCACGTGGGGCCCTAGCCTGAGTTCCAAGCTCCCAGCTTCGGTCCAGCCCAGTCCCTTTGCAGGCACTGGGGGAGTGAACCAATGGATGGGAGTTCTATTTTCCTTTCTCTTTGTCTCCCACGCCAATTTTTGTAAAAATATTTTATTGTAACAGAAAACTGACATATTTAAAATCATATTCAATGTGTATTTGCATATATATATGTATATAAATATAAATTGGTATCTACTCTCAGCTTTTTTTTCCCCACATAATAGCTAATATGTTATGGATGAGTACAAAAATTGACTGGTTTTTCAGAAAGCTCTACCTTCATTGTAAATATTTTATTTAATGGATATATGAGGAAATACAAAGGCAAATCAGTTTCTCTTACTTAAGACCTGGTGGTTGTAATGAGTACACAGTGTATTTAAGTGATGCTAGGGACTGCGACCAAGAACTGCAGCCTTTTGCTTAGACTCATTATAGCTCTCCAGGTACGGACTATTTCATGGCTGTTGCAAACCAGAGAATCTTCCTTTTGCCTGTCTGTTGTCTTTCCCTCAGTCAAAGGGAACCCTCCAAAGGTTTTAGCATAAGAGTAATGAGAGGTTCAGAACTGATTAATTGACTAACTAGACTTTCATGAAGTTGTAATAGTAGGTGATAACTGTCTTCAAAATTCATGTTCTGCTGGCACTGTGGCACAGTGGGTTAAGTCGCTGTCTGCAGCGCCAGCATCCCTTATGGGTGCTGGTTCAATTCCTGGCTGCTCTGCTTCTAATCCAGCTCTCTGTTAATGCACCTGGGAAAGCAGCTGAGGATGGCTCAAGTGTTTGGGCCTCTGCACCCATGTGGGAGACCTGGAAGAAACTCCTGGCTCCTGGCTTTGGCCTGGCCCAGCCCTGGGTGTTGCAGCCATTTGGGGAGTGAACCAGCAGATGGAAAATCTGTTTATTTCTCTCTCTCTCTCTTTCTCTTCTCTGACCCCGTAACTCTTTCAAATAAATAAATAAACACACAAATCTTTTTAAAAAAAAATCCATGGTCGGATGAGCTACAAGCTCTGTAGGGAACAGTTTAGTCTGCACACCGGGACAGCCTCTCTGCCAGTGGCTTTCCTCTGCACATCTGGGTTAGTTTTTCTGTTTCTCAACTCCTGCCCTCTCTCTGTGGCAGTTGCTTGCTCCGTCGTTGTGTCCCTCTTTCCCTTTTCCTCTCCTTCTCCAAGGTCTCTCTGGTTTCTGTGCCCTCCTCTTCATTTTTCTCTGGCTCCTTCTCTCGCATGCCTTGTCTTTGTCTCCCTCACTCCTAGTCCCTTCCTGTCCCGCAGCCTGGCCTGTTGGACCTGCCCATGCTCTCCCCTCACGCCTCCCTTGTCTGTCGGCTTTCCTTTCCCCAGAACGTCGTCCTCTTGCTCCTTCTCCATACCCTCCTCCTCCCCCTTCTATCCCTCGCCCTTCTTATCCCTCTTTAATTCACCACTGTACAACACAGGAGCATATTTTTAAGAAGTCTATATTAGATTCATGCAGAAAAACTTTATATTTCTCTTTGCAACCAAAATCAAGTAATTTCAAAATTATATCTTTCAAAATATCTGTTGCATTCATATGAACCGATTAGACTATGTTTTTTTGTACTCCTGAATGAAAAAAAGTAAAAATTTTGCTTGAGAATCAATTGTCAGGCATTCCAAATAAGCCTAACTTATGTTTCTGTAAGTGGTACCATTGAAATGAACAAAAATAAATAAAACATAGCCATACTTTAGACATTTTACTATACATTTGTATAATGCTATAATAAAGCCTTAAAATCTATGAAATGTTATTAGAGTCTGATATTATATTTTAGAGTATATACAAATAATCTAATATATCAAATGATATGCAGATGTTTCTGTTGATACAGTATAGTAATGAATCATCAAATTTTTTACTTTGTAATTGTTATAATTTCAAGGGTAAAAGCTAAAATCACCCTAAGCATTGAAATATATGGAAGACTATTTTGTGGAAAAACAATTCAACCAAAAGGAATTGAAATTATTTTAAGGAAGTCATCCATTTAAAAAAGGTTTATTTACTGAAAGGCAGAGAGAGAGAAAGAGATAGATCTTCCATCCATTGGTTTACTCCCCAAATGGTTGCAACAGTTGGGACCGGGCCAGGCTGAAACCAGGAGCCAGGAATTCGATCTGGGTCTCCCGCATGGGTGGCAAGGGTCCAAGTACTTGGAGCATTTTCTGCTGCCTTCCCAGGTGCATTAGCAGGAAGCTGGATCAGAAGTGGAGAAGCCGGGACTTAAACAAACTTTCCAACATGGGGTGCCATTGTCGCAGGCTATGGCATAATCCACTGAGCCACAGTGTTGGCCCCTTGAAGTCATCCATTTTTTTAAGGGACCATGTTGCCTGTAGTTTTACAAGTGTTGAAATTCATAATTGTCCTTAAAAAGATTGCTGAAGTAATAAAGTAAATGGATCTAGTTTCATTTGTTTGTCTGCTTGGGAGCTAAACTTTACAACTAGATCAGTCCAAGTTCTCCTGTTATGACTGAACCAAAATCTGAACATATAATGAAGAAACAGGAGTCATTCAGTAGATGAGTTATACCTACTTATTGTAGATTTACACTTATAAATGCTCGTTCATTTCCCAGTTGCTTAAGGCCAGCCGAATTTGATAAGTATCAATAACTAAACTAGTTGAGCTGTAGGCTTTTGGGACAAAACTGCAAAGTGTAGCAGAGCTGTAACCCATGAAGACAGACAAAGGCCTTCAAAGTCCAACAGTGATGTTAAAGACTGAAAGTCCACATGTTTTGCTTTATTTGTTCTCTCTCTCTCTGCCTTTCAAATAAATTATATATATATAAATATTATATACAAATTATTTGTATATATAATATAAATTATATAATTTATCTATATATCTATATAATAATTTATCTATTTGTATCTATATCTATATCTATATTTAGAGAGATATCTTCCATCTGCTGATTCACTCCCTAAATGGCTGCAACAGCCAGGGCTGGGCCAGGCCGAAGCCAGGAGCCTGAAACTCCATCCAGGTCTCCCATATGAGTGGCAGGGGCCCAGGCACTTGGGCCACCCCCTGGTGTTCTCCCACATGCATTAGCAGGAAACTGGATGGGAAGCACTGCAAATGGGATGTGAACTGGTGTTCTGGTATCAGATACTGGCATTGCAAGCAGTGGCTTAACCTGCTGTGCCACAGTGCAGCCCCTGTTTGCATAGTACTTTAAAAAAAAAAATCTAAAAAATGTGTTCCCAAAATGTGAATGTCAGAATTGTTCATATAAAATCCATATATCCTGCTCCTTTTGAAAATACAAAAACAAAGATTAAACACCACCACCACCACCACCGGGTCTCTGTTTCTTAGAGGACAGGACTGACTGCAGCTAAGAAGCCACTGCCTTCAGTGAGTGGTTTTCCAGGCCTGATTCAGTCATCTTTTTTGGCCTCTGTGTGTGGGCATTGGCCTGGCTAACTCATAAAAGGAACCCATTAAATAATGTAGCCTATAATTAAGTTCAAAGTCATTGGATCTGAATACTACCTCATGATTATATTTCTTATGAGTAAGTCTGGAAATTCTGATTTTATGCAGTATAGATTTGTTAAAAAAGAAGAAATGGGGGCCAGTGCTGTGTAGTAGCTGGTAAAGCCGCCGGCTACAGTGCGGGCATCCCATGTGGGCGCGGTTCGAGTCCCAGATGCTCCACTTCCAGTCCAGCTCTCTGTTACGGCCTGGGAAAGCAGTAGAAAATTGCCCAAGTCCTTGGGCCCCTTCCAGAGACCTGGAAGAAGCTCCTGACTCCTGGCTTCAGATTGGCACAGTTCCGGCTGTTGTGGCCATTTAGGGAGTGAACCAGCAGATGGAAGACCTCTCTCTTTCTCTCTGCCTCTGCCTCTGTCTCTATGTAACTCTGACTTCAAGTAAAATAAATAAACCTTTAAAAAAAAAGAAGAAATGATACATGATATGAAATTTCTCCTGCATCTATTACATGTAATTTCTATGGGAAAAGGTGACATATACAGGTTCAAGTTTCATGAGTACTATCTAATGTGTCAAAAGTAATTGATTTCTGGGGTGGGCATTGTGGCACAGTGGGTGGGATGCCCATATCCCATATCAAAGTGTCAGTTTGAGGCCTATTTTGCTTCTGATCCAGTCTCCTGCTAATGTGCTTGTGAGGCACATGATGGCTCATGGTGGAAGATCTCTCTTTTTCTGTCTCTCCCTCTCTTTTTGTTATTCTGAAAATCTTTTTTAAGAAGTAATCAATTTCAGATGTAATTAAAACCAAAGACTGGGTCTGGCGTTGTGGTACAGCTGGTAAAACTGCCGCCTATGACACTGGTATCCCATGTGGGCACCAGTTTGTGTCTTGGCTGCTCCACTTCTGATCCAGCTCCCTGCTAATGGCCTGCAAGCAGCGGAAGATGGCTCAAGTGTTTGAGTCCCTGCCACCCAAGTGGGAGACCCAGATGAAGTTCCTGGCTCCTGGTTTTGGCCTGGTTTAACCTTGGCTCCTGTGGCCATCTGGGGAATGAACCAGCAGATGGAAAGTCTCCCTCTCTCTTTCTCTGTCTCTCCCTCTCTTTCTGTAAATCTGATTTTCAAATAAACAGATCTTTGAAAACAGAAACAAAAAATCCCAAATACTATCAGATACAATATTGGTTCATATTATAAAAATGATAGAATGTTAAATCACCTTTTTTTGGAAACAGCTTTGACCATAAATAATCTATTTTCTTTAGAAGTACTATGGCGGATACAACAGATGTTATATTGTCACAAACTAAAAGTTGTTCTAACAAACTGGCGGGATAAAGCAAGATCCAAGACTAAAATGAGAGAAGATGAGCTGGTATTGTATATTTGGAAGCAGTTTTTAAAAATCTGAATTTTTCAATTATAGTCGTGCTACCTTAGATAATAATGCCAAGGGTTGGAAATACTAAAATCCTGAATATTATGTGCTTTTGGTGGGCTCTTTGTTCTTTTACTTAATAATTTAAATTTTGCTTCAGCTACCCCAGGTGTTTCCTAATAATTTCAGTTCATTTGAATTATGAACAAGGAAAATACAATTATGGACCAAGGAAAAAAATTTTTAACATTTTGTTTAAACACATTGATAAAGAAACTAAGAATTTATCTATCTATATGGAAGAGAAAATATCTGATATCATTATAATGGAGAAGTAAATGATAAAGACTGAATAAATTTATTCTTTTTCTGGATGAAGTTAATTTGTTCTTTTTCAGTGTCCAATAAATTAAAAGTTTAATATTAAGTGTTTTTTAAAAATTACTGAATTGCCTAAACCTAAGGAATTATCCTTACCTGGGGCATCCACTAAAAATTAAAGCAACTGAAACAGAGGACTCAAGGAAATCATCGTAAACTAAAATGCTCTAGTTTGCTGAGCTATTTGTACATAAACAACACTTAATGTTGTTTTAGAATATGCCGGGTAACTTCCAGGATCAGGCGTAAAAGCATACTGGAATTGTTTTGTAGCTACATTATTTAGTAATAAATATCAGCATTTATTAACATTCTTTGAAATACAAGGTCAGGATGTACAGGAAGTGACTGGGCCTTGGCGGGCAGGATCACTGCCTCCACCCATCCCCAAACTGGTTCAGATGTTGAAACTGCTGATACCACACAGGCAGCTAGAGGGCAGGAGGAGGTTTATTACTCCCCCAGTGCTTGGAGCAGTCCTGGAGTCTGCAGGGACCCCGAGAGGCGAGGCCTGAAGCATGGTTCTTGCTCTCTAGAAGTCTGTCTGCTACAGGTCTCGAGCTGTTCTTACAGGCGCCCTCTAGCCCTTGTCTTCTGTGGACTACCCTGTCAGCAGTGCCCGTTCCACAGTTCCAATTTGGGAGCCCCTGGGTGAGTCTACGCATCCAGGGGTCCCTACCACTTTGTGTGCTAAAGCTAGTGCTTCGGTGGCTGCCTTCCATGCCTGATTACTGAGTGTAATGGTGAAATAGGTAACCCTACTTGACCAGCGTCTTTTACTCCCCCTTAAGCTGGACATCCCTGAGAGCAGGTTGTGTTTCTTTGACCCCCAACACTGAGCACGGTGTTTCACACGCACTAGTTGATAACTATTAATATATATAATGCATATTGTTTGCAGTATTCAAAACGTTCACAGAATGTGTATTATGGAAAAACTGCATGGAGCTCATTTTTTTTTTACATCAAAAACCTTACCTTTGAATTCTAAGTTTCCACGAACTTTTGGAAATATCCTCGTATTTATATAAAATATTTAATTGAATGCTTAGAGAAAGTCTGTTCTTGTAGTTATAGATTTGTCGGCTTAACAGTCACTGCACAGTCATGTAGGTGGCGTGGGGATGGCAGGTAAGTGCTGGGAGCGCAGCCGGGAGCACTTGTGTGTGCCGCCTCCCCAACATCTGCTCTTCTTTGGGTTCTGGTGTGTGTATATGAGGGCTGAGAAAGTTCGGAGAGGGGAAGTAAGACAAAAGTTTATTTGGGTGCAGAAATACTTTGAAATCTATGTGTTTTTTTTCATTATATGCATTTCCATGAACTTTTTGAACACCCCTTGTATGTACAGATTTCAAAAATTTTTGTTCCAAAAACAATTTATGTCTTAATTCCACAAACTTTTTAAAGTGCCTGTGTATACGTGTTAAATATATATTATACACACACACACACACACACACACACACCAGAATTGTGTATGTGTATGTATATGTGTATGAAGATGTTAGTAAAATACTTACTTATCTTTAGAGCATATTATTTATTACACGGTTTCCAGTAATCTATCAAAAATTAAAACAGATTTATAGCAGTCATTCTGGCGAGTTCTCAAATAATCTCCAACTCCTCTTCTATGCTCATCACCTCCCATCTGAGCCCAAGTGCAGGTTCTACCATTACCAGAGCCTTGATTTTGTGGGCCTCAACTTCCTCTCTGTGTAGGAGGAGACGAGCTGAAATCTGCAAGGTGGCTGCCTGTCTGTGCCAATTCAGTATGACCGCTGGTGGCCGTGATTTCTAACGCTGTGGTCATTCAGAGACTACTAAACGTGTGTAGAACACTGTAATGCATGCGAAAGTGATAATTACTATGTGAAGTTCTGTGCTTTATATCTGTCATCTCACCCCTACAGTTCAATGGAATTTGTAAACTATTTTCATTGCAGATATTAAAACATGAACGGCAATTGAAAAGATGGAAAAGTAAATTAAAATTCAGAGTCACCACTGAAGAAACCAGTTCGCCTGAACTAAGTTCATCCGAAATCTCTTTTGTGGGGGACCTTCCAGAATGTGACATTTCGCTGTTACCTGAAAAAGCAATATCCCAGGTTTGTATGGACTCAATATATGTGAAATAATGCAGTCTTGTTCTGTACATACAGTATGGAGTCAGGATATGTATGTCTTTGTCCATTAGTTCCACATTTAAATGTTAACTTCTCACATTTTGTTTGTTTTTCAGTTGTAATTCCTTTAATTCTAATATTGGTTCATAATAGCACTCTACAAATATGTATGGGCAGTATTAGCCCTTTGTCTGGAATTTAAATGGTGACTCTCTCCACCCCATACATTTCAAGCTTTTTCTTGCCTCTGGAATCTTTTGATGAAAGGAATTTTAAAGCTTTGTGTAATAAAGTCGATCACTCTCAATTTCAGTTCACATTTGATCACACTGATAGGTCCAAGAGTCAAAGGGATCACACAAACAAGACTAGAGTCTGCTAATACTAGCTGATAGAATCAAACAGGGAGAGAACAATCCATCATGGGAAGCGGGATACACAGTAGACTCATAGAATGGCAGATGTCCTAAATAGCACTCTGGCCTCAGAATCAGCCCTTAAGGTATTCAGATATGGCTGAAGAGCCCATGAGAGTATTTTAGGCATGGAAAGCCAAGACACCCTGGGGGAAGAAAAAAAAAAAAAGAAGACCTAAATGGAAGATCTCTGTGAGTGAGATCCCAGTGGAAAGAACGGGGCCATCAAAGAACGAGGTACCTTTCTCTGAAGGGAGGAGAGAACTTTCACTTTGACTATGACCCTGTCGGAATAAGATCAAAGTTGGCAAACTCAAAAGGCTTCCATAGCCTTGACAACTCATGACTAGAGCCTAGGGAGATTACTGACGCCATAAACAAGAGTGTCAAATTGTTAAGTCAACAACAGGAGTCACTGTGTACTTGCTTCTCATGTGGGATCTGTCCTTAGTGTGTTGTCCAATGTGAAGTAATGCTATAACTAGTACTGAAACAGTATTTTACACTTTGTGTTTCTGTGTGGGTGCAAACTGATGAAATCTTTACTTAATATATACTGAATTGATCTTCTGTATATAAAGATAATTGAAAATGAATCTTGATGTGAATGGAATGGGAGAGGGAGCGGGAGATGGGAGGGGTGTGAGTGGGAGGGAAATTATGGGGGGAAGCCATTGTAATCCATTAACTGTACTTTAAAAATTTATATTTACTAAATAAAAAAATGAAAAAAAAATAAAGTTGATCACTCTTGAGCTAATTATTTTTATTTTTAGTTCATGTTAATATTGCCATATCAATATGCCTTTTTAAATTGTTGTTCTAAGTCATATCATAATTCTTACATTTAGCTGTTTTTTATTTGTTTTCTGTGAATTCCTATGCTGTTGACTATTAATGTTTATTTACTTTATCTGTGGCAGTGCTAAAGTTTATAACATGCATTTTTAAGATGTCACAGACTTCCAGTTCATATGTTTTCCCTGACCCAAGGTAACTAATTGAGTACCTGAAATGTAATGTATTGGAATGAAGTAGGCATTTTTTTAAAAGGATTTATTTGAAAGAGTTACACAGAGAGAGAAGGAGAGGGAGAGAGGTCTTCCATCCACTAGTTCACTCCTTAATTGGCTGCAATGGCCCGTGCTGCACCGATCTGAAGCCAGGAGCCAGGAATTTCATCCAGGCTTCCCACATGGGTGCAGGCGCCCAAGGACTTGGGCCATCTTCTGCTGCTTTCCCAGGCCATAGCATAGAGCTCGATCGGAAGCGGAGCGGCTGGGACTCGAACTGGTGCCCAAATGAGATGCCGGCACTGCAGGCGGCAGCTTTACCCGCTACACCACAGCACCAGCTCCAGACATTTGACATTCGATGATTGTTTAACAGCCCTTGTCTCTTCTGTTGAGGAACTGTTTTTTTTTTTTTTTTCATACTATTTGTTGAACTCTTTTACTTAGTGTAGGGTTAATTATATGAACATTGAGTAAACTGAAAATAAATCTTTGTAAAAATTAAGAGTGGGAATGTGAGAGGGTGAGAGAGAGGAAGAGTTGGAGCATGGGCAGGAAGGGGTGGGTGGAAGAAATGTCACTGTGTTCCTAAATCTGTATATATGAATTACATGAAACTTTTCATGTCACTTTACATTTAATGCAAGACTGTAACAAGAGTATGCTTTTATTTCTTGTTCCTGGGCTTTGTGCTATTATTGTCATATATTTTGTTTCTATATTTTATAAACTCTACAATATAATTTATTATATTTGCTTTATACAGTTAATTATCTTTTATCTTAAACACTTATTTTTAAGAATCTCAAACTTGTAGAAAAGTTGCAAGTATAGTACAAAGGATTTTTGTTTTTCTGAGCAGTTTGAGAACAAATTGCCAACACAAGGTATCATCACCTCTGAATATTTTTGGTATATTTCCTCTGAACTAGGCAGAATTCTCAGACCCGCTTCAGGTTTCTCTGGCTGTTTCAGTAATGTTCTAGCAACAGAGTCCAGTCCTCGGATCACATGTTGTCATTGGTCATTGTGTCTCTTTGGTCTCCTTCAGTCTGGAACAGTTCCTTAGTCTTTCTTGAATTTTCATTACCTTGACATGAAACTTATGCAAGTTTTGTTGTAGAATGTGTCTCAGTCTGGGCTAGTTTCATGTTTCCTTGTGAGTAGACTCATGCTATGCATTTTTACAAAATAGCCACAGACCTGATTCTGTTGTGTTCCTCTCATTGGATTTTATCAATGGCACAGGATTTGGAGTTGGGGGGTCCTTTAGTCAGCTTTTCATACAACAACAAATACCTGAGGGGAGCTACTTTGGAAGGAAGATTTATCTGGACTCAGAGTGTTGTGGGTTGCAAGTTCAAGATTGGATGGTTCTATTGGTCTGGTATCTGATGCGGGTGGTGGATGGCAGAACAAGGATCAAGTAGCCAGCCAGGAATCAGAGAGAGACAGGACACACACTGTGCCTCTACGGTCAACCTTCTGAGGACCACCACCCAGTGACCTAAAGACCTCTCATGAGGCCCACCCCTGGCATCATAATTGGATCAAGCCTTAATCCATCAACCATTAAAATGAACGCATTAATGATCGATGTAAAACTTTTCAACACATGGTCCTGGGGACAGCCAAACCATTATCCAAACACAATAGGCTGGTGGCTCCAATAGCCCACAAGCCAGGCTCCCTCACATTGGCCTCCTTTTCCTACCCTGGCTTATTCCTCCCTAGGGATACCTTTCTTACCCTGTTGGGCTCTAAAACTCTGTATCAGGGTGCTCCACTGAGTGACTGCCCTCTCCTTTTCATTCTCATATGCAGCTCTGGCCATCTCAGGTCCAGCCTGGCAGGGGTGCCTGCACTTCGTGACCCAATCTAATACCTAACGGCTTTAGGACTGAATTGTATGGGAAGGAGAAAGCAAAAGGGTAGAGGGAGAAGTTCAGTAATTTTTTTAAATCAAAAACCCAGAAAAAATGTATTGTAGTTTTCCATGAATTAGCCCTTTTTGGTAGTCTTTTTATTTAGATTGCAGTTTTCACCTAAAACAGGGAACTGGATTGGAAGTGGAGCAGCCAAGACACAAGCTGGCACCCTTATAGGTTGCCTGCATGGCAGGTGGCAGCTTTACCTGCTCTGCACAATGCCATCTTCCACAAGTAAGATTTTTAAAATGAACTAAATGAGACTTTTAGAGATGGATATAATATCTGTAATTCTAAAATTTATTGCAACCTAGCCCAGACCTGTCTGTGCCATTTGTAGGTGAGCCAGTAGATGGGAGAGTTCTCCGGTTCTGTGTTTCCTTCTCTGTTACTCTTTTAGAAAAGTAAATATGTCTTTTTTTTTTCAAAAAATAGTTCATTTTTCCTTTTTTTAAAAGATTTATTTATTTATTTACTTGAAAGTCAGAGTCACACAGAAAGGAGAAGTAGAGAGAGGGAGGGGGGGGGGAGAGGGAGAGAGAGAGAGATCTTCCATCCTTTGGTTCACTCCCCAATTGGTCACAACAGCTGGTGCTGTGCTGATCCAAAGCCAGGAGCCAGGAGCTTCTTCTAGGTCTCCCACATGGGTGCAGGGGCCCAACGACTTGGGCCATCTTCTGCTTTCCCAGGCCATAGCAGAGAGCTGGATGCTGGATGGGAAGTGGAACAGCCGGGTCCTTAACTGGCGCCCATATGGGATGCCGGCATTGCAGGCCGGGGCGTTAACCTGCTGTGCCACAGTGCTGGCCCTCATTTTTCCTTTAAACCCTTGAATATTTCTATAATAGCTCTTTAAAAAGTTTGTTTAATAGGTCTGTTACCCCTGGAATTTTTACGTATGTCTCTATTTTTTATTTTTCTCTTGATTATGTGTCATGTTTTCCTGCTTCTTTACAGATCTAGTAATTTTTTATTAAATCTGGACATTTTATAAGTTACATTTGTTGAATATCTACATGTTGTCTTTTTTCTTTTAAAGAGTATTGATTTTTGTTCCGGTAGTCAGTTAATTTACTTGAAGGTAAGGAGTGCGTTTCTTCATACAGGTATTTCCAGTTTGGGGAAGAATGCAAAGGGTGGGAACAATACAGGGTGTGAGACTGAATAGGGATGCAGGGATAAGGGGTAAATTCTGATTCTAGCAAGGAGCTAGAATGGCTGAGGCTTAAGTCTTTGTTCCATCAGGTGGCAGGGGTGAAATGCTTAAATCATTACCTGCTGCCCTCAGGGTGCACATTAGCAGGACTCTAGATTGGAAGCCAAGCTGATTTGAACCCGGGGGCCCCAATATAGGATGCAGACATCCCAAGCTACATTTTAACTGCTGCATGAAATGCTTGCCACTGGAGTAGCTATTTTAAGCACAGTATTCTGGGTCCAGTAATTTCCAGTTATATCAGCTAGTTCTGACTTCAGCTGCCAATATAAAAAAAAATATGATGGGGCTGGAGTTGTGGCGTAGTGGGTAAAGCTGCTGTCCACAATGCCAGTGTCCTATATGGGCATCGGTTCAAGTTCCAGCTGCTCTACTTCTGATCCAGTCCCTGCTAGTGCACCTGGGAAAG